CTGCTAAAGGTACATGCATCATAAAGTGACCAACATAATGATGGTTTGTAGTCCTGTCGCGATAAACAATAAATCAATGAATCACATGACAAATGAAAATTATCGACCTCATTTTCATTTATCGGCTTTATAGTTTCTTTGTGTCTCTCTTTCTACTGAAGACACTCGATGACAAAAAACTCAACTCCGGTGCTCTTCACTGACCCCTCCCATTCTCTTTTCTCTTTAAAATCTGTTTTAACTGTCCAAAATCGCATTTTTGGATCGTTAAAAGCAGCTAAGCTGAGAAGCTAAGCTGTGAGCTAAGCTAACAGGCCGACCTCGGGAACAAAAAACCTCGGTCTTGTCAAAACTTTAAATTTCACGGTTGAAAAACGGTGGTAAAAAAATTTTCTCTGTTAAAAAAAGCTGAGAACTTGTTTACTGATTTTTTATTAAAACTTTGTGTGAAAAATGCTATGCTAAAGTGCTCAAACCAAACTGAGCGTCCGCCATTTTGAGAACCGGAGACAGCCCATGTCACGTCAAGGGGCCTCCCTCCAATTTTTCTTAAAGAGACACGCTGCTCGCTCCCTCACTTTCCATCCTTCAGTTCAACCAGTCTTATACTGCCATCCAGTGGTCAAAAAAGGTATTTCATGCAAAACAAATTAAACATTTCTTGGTAAATTTAACAATAATTACTAATTATTGTCAAATTTCAAACAATATTATGGTTTATCGCAATAATTTCTGAGACAATTAATCACCCAGCAAAATTTATCATCGTGACGGTCCTAAATGTTTGTATTTTAATTTTGTTCTTTTATTTTTTTTCTCTTTCAGCCCTGTTGGTTTCAGGTTCATCTACATGCTGGATGACTGTTTTGATTTTATGTAGTCTTGAACACAACATAGTTATTATTTTAGAATTACTAGTAAATTTCATTATTCTTATGCAGTTTATTTATTTTTTTTATTTTGCATTATGAAATAGAAAAATTGACCAGTTCTGTTATGAATATGTGAATAAACTGTGCAAATGAAAAGTTTTATATTAAAAAAAAGTTTTTTGCTTGGATTTAATTTGAAATTTAACTTCTAAATTTTGTCGAAAAATGCTCGAAAGAAATAAAATCACAGTCACCAAAACTAGAATAAAATCAAAATTGAACAAAATGGATACATACTGAGTTGTGTACATTTTTTTTTTTTTTAAATCATTTCAGGAGTTTTACTTCCTCCAGTACTTCTTTCAGGCACTTCAAGTAAGTACATTTTGTCAAGTGAAAAGAGAAATAACGTCAGAAATGACAATTTTGACCAGAATGGGAGCAAGTGATGACAAAGAACTCATAAGAGTACATATTATAACATTTTTATGCTGTGCTAGCTAACTTTGTGCTGGACATAAGCTGCAATGAGTGGATACAATGTAAAATGTCTGATACAATATAGCAGGATGTGTTGAGCTTAACAAAATGTGCAAAACTGATACAATTCATTTGATATGAACTGGTGTATTTTCTTTTTGTAGTCCAGCAGAAGCAGGCCTTACTGTATGTAAGGTGTTGTTTTCCTTCTTCATGCTATTTTAGTCACATTTTGAAAGACCTAGATTGTGTTGGGAATTGTTACCAGCTTGCTGCAAAGGTCTGGATGCTTTTAAAGCCAAGTAGGTTGCTCAGGAAAAAAATAAATAAATAAAATAGCACAGTTGTTGTCACCTGTTGGTTCTTCTGCCACCTGAAATAGTCTTTTCCAAAAAAGGGAAGAAGAGAAGGCCAGGCTAACCTTCAGTTGTGAAAACAACAGTGTGAGGATGAGGGATGCTGTTTTTACTGTTAGTAACAATGTTTTTGTTTCTTATTATTTTTAATTTGCAATCTGATTAATGTAAAGAAACACACTCCCACATAGATTTCATTTAGTTTCTGTTCATGCAAAAAACGGCTTCATTAATTTTCTTATTGTCATAAGAAAATACCAAAGTCTGAACGTACCTACATATTTAACCTCAATGATTTCCTTGAAATATTTTCTCATTTATGTGTTTTTGTTCTCAGGCAGGGGACTTGAAGCAAAGTTTACAAACTTTAACAATTTTATCAATTATGTCCATTATAATAATTTTTGTCTCTAATGAAAAAGAGATTTTTAATCTCAATGAGATCTACCTGGTTAAATAAAGGTTTAATAATAATATTAATAATAATAATAATTGTTATTATTATTAAATAGTTGTTTTTTAGACCCACAACATACATAATATTAATGTAATTTCAGACTTTTTATGAATAAAAAAATCCTCAGAACTCATGACGACCATGTGGAGGCTGATGGGATGAAATGAACAAGAGCTTTAAGACGACAAGCAGCAGAGGGAGACAGAGCAAAAACAAGGATTAAAGAATCAAGCTGCCATCTGCAAAAGTTCTCTGATGACTTTGTAGTCGGCCTCATCACAGGTGAGGACGGTTCAGAGTACAGACAGTGGACACAGCGCTTCGTGGACTGGTGCCAGCAGAACCACCTCCTGATCAATGCAGGGAAAACAAAGGGGCTGGTGGTGGATTGCCACAGACCCACCACACTGACACCGGTACATCCAGGAAACTGGACTTTGAGGCATCAGTCATCTACTGTGGTGTAGTCTGCTGGAGCAGCAGCTTCTCTACAGCTGAGAGAAAGCCGTTAGATAAGCTCATCAAGAAGACCAGTTCTGTCCTAGGATGTCTCCTCAACCCAGATGGTGGGAGGCAGAAGAACTGTGGCAAAAATAACAGCACTGTTGGACAATGTCTCACACTCCATGCATGAAGCTCTTGCAGAACTGGAGAGCTCCTTCGGTGACAGACTGCTGCATCCCAGGTGCACAAAGGAGTGTTGTCACAGGTTCTTCCTCTCAGCAGCTCTCAGACTTTATAACAATCACCCATCCCAACAAACTCGATAAGTGTTTACATCCCTGCTGTCACTTGCACAGTTTTTCCATTTCTTGTAAATAGTCTGTTGTGTTTTCTTTTTCTTTGCAAAAATACACATGCACATGTGCATTCTTCCAATTATCCTACTCAGTTGCACATTTCTTTGAATCTGAGTATGTGATTTTTCACAAGTGCACAATGTTTTTTCTTATGCTGTAAATTTGCCCTTATGTACAGTCTGTTATTCATACTTTCTGATTTTATACTTTTACCTTGGTGTGAATCTACAGTACATGTTTCGATTTGCCTGTTACTTTGTTGCTGGGACAAAAAAGGTTATATCTATTCTATTATCTATTCTATTATGGTACTGGTGGATTTTCACAAGTGAACTCACTGACCACTGGATGGAAGCACTGGCTTTAACTCGGTACGTGGCTGCCCTCTGCTGGACAGAAACTATAACTGCAGCAGACCTGAGTGAATAACGAGCTCTGCAAGGAATAATTGCGAAAACTAACTTTTAAAAAATATTATTCCAATCTTAGACATTGGTATCTACTTTTTGATGTATGATATTAGAAATTAGCTGAAAATATTTTGCCTAATGCGATTCTATCATTAAAAAAGTAAATGTTGCCCTCACATGAGTATTAACAGAGTAATGAGAGAAGTAAAACGCCCCAAAATAAACAAAATTGCCTGAATTTTGATTATTGCCACGTAACAAAACCATTTTTAGGATAAAACTAGTTTACTTAATGCATCTGAGATGCTACTGGAAATACTTGAGGCGGGTGAATACTATCATAATCACTGTTGTGCACTTAATGTTAATGTTAGTGCACATTTAAATTAACCCCATTTACATAATGAATTTAATATAAAATCCTGACTTCAACATTTGTAAAAGGAAAAAAAATAAAATAAAAAAGAATTTTCTGGTGTAAGATTTTCAATTCAAAATTTGTTGGCCAACAAAAAACTTGCTCCTAAAATCCAGTTTTTAAACGTTGAGCTTCAGCATGCATATGCCTTTTATGTCAGTGGATTTAATTAATTTATTGATGCAGATTGTTGTAATAATCTCTGATTATATGAGTACAGTGACGGAAAAATTATACAAATAATTTTGTTTAAGTGTGGTTCAGAAATAACCCTATTATTTTTAATGCAAAATTGCAAATATATCAGTACCACTTTACAATAAAACTACCCTGACAAAACAACATAACAAGTGCTTATATTTTGTCTTATGCACACATCACTGCTAATGTGTATTTAGAACATTTGACAACTATAGACTACTTTTAAAACAGGCTAGTTAAACTATTATTCTGTTGGCTCAGTTTACCAAAATATCACAGTTTTTCACTTCATACATGTTTAAAGATGTTGAAAATTAAGTTCATGAGGAAGAATAGTTCAGGTAAACATTATTTTCAATTCAATTCAATTCAACCTTTATTTCTACAGGTTAGTCTCAATGAGCCTTGAGGACTCGAGAGAGACCTTGTTTTAACAAAGAAGGACGACAACAGTAGACAATCATAAAAAAACAGCTACAAAAATTATGACCAAGAAGTACAGAAAATTACAGGCTAGCTATTTGACAAGAAAAAGTCAGGATTTTCTTTTTAATCTAATGCACTATAACTACTTAAGCCTTTAAAGTATTTGAAACTAACCAAATGTGGTATGATATGAATCATTAAAGTTTTTATTGAAAAGTAAAGTTGTACTAAAACAACTAATAGACACATTGTCCGTTTAAGATCTTATTCATTGCAAATAAAAGTATTTACTGATTGATCTTTAAATAATTACTTACGGTAGTTAATTAATTTAAAACAAATATGTTCTGCTTTTAATGTTTCCATCGTTTGTTTGTTTGTATCTCCGTGTAACTTTATTGTCGGCCAACATTTTTTTCTTACATACGCTTTTTTTTTCTTTCTTCTTCTTCGGTTTTTTTTTTTTTTTTTTTTTTTTTCCCTTTTTTTTTTTAATACCAGATAATATTCAGGCCAGAGCTGCAATTTCTGAATCTGCCCTTGTATATGGCGGACGAAATTTTTCACAGGAGGAAAGGCAACACTAACCTCCTCTGTTCAAGGCACGAAAAGCCTTAAAAAAACCTCGACAATTTTGTAACAACACGCCATTACGCTTTACTAAAAATGTAACGAAGCGAGTCGAGGCGGAGGAAAAAACCCGCTGTGCAGATTTTTTTTTTGTTTTACCATTGGAAAATTCTCATAACTAATTCACAATTTTTTTTTTTTTTTGGAGGAAGCAGTTTTGTGCAGTCACCTCTAGTCGGGGAGGAGGAAGAATTTCTGCAGCAGGAGCCTGTTTCGCATGAGCTACATCGCATTTGGAGGTATGTCAAATTGTTGTTTTTCCATTTTTAAAATCCAAAATTTTTAGAAATTTAAAGTAGCGGATGTGAAATTCCAACCTGCCATTTTCATGATGAGACCAGGCTGTGTCCTCGCACTATTTTACTCACCATTACATCAGGTTAATAATGGCTTTGAAGCAAATAATCTGCTATTATTTTATATATTTTTGAAGGGAGGTAAAATTCTTAGTAATAAAGTTTGTAGTGAAGCGTCTAGTTCGTCCACACACAGCAGAAAACGCTCTTTTATTACAATGAATGACGATGAGGGGGAAGAACAAGCTGAAACAGAAGAAAACCTCCTGCAGCCATGTTTTGTGATTATTTTTTTTCCTTCAAAAATTTGGAGCTGAAGCTGGAGAGTTGCTTCCTCTGGCAGTTTTCACGGCGCCGACATTTTTTTTTTTTTTTGCTCCTGCTCGTTTTTTAATTGCTCCTTCTTCACCGTAAATGCAGATGAATTAAAAAAATTAAAAAAAACGCCACGGCGCCGTTTTTTTATTTTAAATTTTTTTTAACCGAGACATGTTTCGACGTTTATTTTTATGACATCTTTTTTTTTTTTAAACGAGAGGATTTTTCGACGCCGTGTCCAATGGCGCCACCTGTAGGCAGACATTTGTTTTTTTAAATTAGAAAATGTAACGAGATGTGGTTGTTTTATTGTTTTTTCTCACATATTTAGAATTAGTTTTACTGTGTGCTGGGTGCTTTTTGTTGGTTTATTACAGTTAAAAATAATGCTTTAAATTCTTATTCATAATGCATGTTACATTTTTCAGAAACTCTTTCATTTTATGTGGCTTTAATAGATGTAATCTCTATAAATCTGCATTTTTGATTTATTTGTCTTCCTAGATTAAATGCTGCTGCCTGTGTTTTATTTTGTATTTAAACACTGAAATTCTGTAATACTGCAGAGAGGGAGGAAAAAGAATTATTCACAATGAACTTTACAGCACTGGGAGAAAGAAATAATATGTCAGCATAATTTGAGGGCAGGAAAAACAATCACAACTAGTGCCTCTACTGTTTATATTAATCCTGCAGACGCCAAACAGTTTCCCATCTTGCCTGGCTTGCTTTTATTTTAATGTGAAAGGAAACTGCAGAGGCCATTTTTTTTCTGTGGGTAATTTTAATGCTGACCTTCAAAATCTTTATTCATTCCGTTCAAAGAGCTTGTGGGGGGAAAAAGTGTGAGGTAGGTGTGCAAAATTCTGACCTTTGCTTGCAAACTCTATTCAAAACGCAGGAGTTTGAGTTCAAGTACTGAATTCACGAGAAGCCAACCAGTGCGCTGAGTTTATTAGGGGGCAGAATAATGTAAATACCAAGCAGTAAGTTATAAAAATGTTGAGAATAATGCTGATTTGGTTTATGGAGGTTTTCATTTAAATGGGCAACTTGCAAATTAACTTACAGCTAAAAGCATAAAGTAGTTTTTGTGGTTAAAAAAAAAAAGTTTAAATATGTGCTCCACAATAACATAAACTAGGGATGCATGATATTGGATTTTTGGCTGATATTCGATAACCGATACCAATATTTTTTTTCCTAGACCTACTCACATAGACTACATAGCTTTTTCTGCTGCGGAATTAAAACTCTACATTATTCTGCATGGTCTTTGTCAATTTGGCCTGCTACCAAATGCAGATGCCCAAAAAGGGCTGAAAATAATGTAACGCTTCAACTTGGATTAATGGCAAATTTATTCATGGCATTTACTCTCTCTTTCTAACACAATGACAACACTCAACCAGTGCAAATTTGTACATTTTCACAAATCTAAACTCAACCTGTTCACAAGTGAAAAGTGCATACGTAGTAGTGCATTAATAGATATACTTGACAGTTTCTTAAATTGAAAATTAACTTAAAACAGAAGCCTTTTATATCGGTGAGTTATTTTGATGGAATGGCCAATGTCAGATATTTAACTTTATCGCTAAAATTGGCCGATACCATGCCGATAATATCAAGCATCCCTAACGTAAACAACAGATGCTAAACCAATAAGCTATTAGACTTTTGTACAAGTGGTACAAAATTGTCTTTTGGCTTGAAGGAGAATAAAGTTTTGACTTGTTTAATTGTTAGAATAACATGTTTATGCAGTACTTTTCAATTATAGATAGATGAAAATGTGATGTATATGGTAGATTTGCAACCTTATATTTATGAGCAAGATTAGGAGAGAACAGCAAACTGTAGAAATAAGAGGAAAAAATAGTTTGTTTGTTGTGAGAATTGATAGAGAACTGACTGTGATATAAATAACTTTGTTTACCTTCATTATCAATGAATACTACGCCCTGAATCGAGGTCATATAACATGAAACTAACTCAATATTTCCAAGTAAAGCAGCTTGTTTGACAGATGCATTGAATTTCGGGAAGAGAAAAAAAAGCATAACACAGAAAGTCTACCTTTTTTCTTAATTTATGCATTTAAGTTAAAGAAAATGCATAAAAGTGACCACATTTTCAAACACAAATATTCCCAAAATATATTTTTACGAAGTTCACCTTTTAGTTGTTTTGTATGTAAAATAAAAGCAGTTAGAGGTTTTGAGTACTTCCATAAATAAAAGTTTTTCTGTGGTTGGGATTTTTAAAGCTAGTAGTTCAGATTAAATGAACGTTTGTCTCTCTGGACTCGTAAGAAACACAAGATGGTGGTGGATTATATCACTGCCCCCTTTAAAGGTTTTAAAATGTAGTTCCTGTTAGCTTGCTTGAGAGTTCACTTGCTATTTTAAGTGAAAGCAGCAAATTTGAGGTTGTCTTTATTTTAGCACACTGTTACAGTTTGATTCTTAAACATGTCTGAAAATCGTACATCTCTCCTAAGCAGAGTGAACATCCTATGTTCTTTTTTTTCCTCCATAGTGGCATCTAGAAAATGTCTGAAAATATCTTCAGTTAAATTAGTCTCAAGGGAATGGCTTTTCAGGGGTTGAAAGTACTGCATTAAAAAAATCTGTGCATTCTGCATTTTTTTTTACTTCCTTTGTAAAAATGAACCTTATTGCTTTCATGAATAATGCATAGTGATGTTCAGTTGCTGCAGCAATGAAAATTAGGCCTGTTTACGTGCAGTGGTTATATACACAGAAGCATTTTTTTATGACCATTTCTGTAGGTAGAGCGGAGCCTGAGTAGCTTTTCTGAAAATACAAATTTTCAGCAAAGCAAATCTCATTTCTTTGAGTGAAAAGGAGAGGGGATGAAACTCCCGCGGGTTTAATGAATCCATAAATCACAATAGTGCCAGGTTTGCTGCGCCTGCGTCAGTGTGCAGTGTAATTTTGATTTTCATCAAAAATTTAATCTGCCAGCCTACAAGGGTTTAGCAGCAATCCGGATGCAGCCCTGAATTTCTAATTTTAGGGGTCTGATCTTTTAGGATTTAGTTTTGTATAATTCAAGTCTGCTTTTCAATATCTCTTGTTATTAAATTTTAATTCATGGCATTAACATATAGATTGAAAAGGTTTTATGTTTTTTTTAGTGTATGCTGATGGAATTTTACTAGACGACACAGTTTTTTTTTCCCTTTTTTTTTAAGCGTCTCGCGTGTGTGTGTGTGTGAAGTATGAGTGTGTGTGTGAAAGAGAGAGGGGGGTGGTGAGGTTTATCCATTTTTCTGCATTATTGCTTTTTGAAATCGCTGGTCATACACCATCTTGGAAGACATTTATTACAGAGGACAGAAAAGTTTGCATTTGATTAAAGAAATGGGGAATGCAAAGCACCAGTGTGAAACAGGTTTTGGTCAAACTCAACACCCACTCTCTGGATAATATAAACATGAAGTCAAAGCAGAGCTTGAACTGACTACTGCCCCCCCCCCCCCTTTTCATTCATCCCCCCAGTTTTAGCAAATTCCTATTTTTAATCCCTACAGAGTGGAAATATTTTCATGAGCCTCAAACAAATTTGTATTTATATCTGGACTCTTTTTCCAGTCTGCTGAACATTCAGAGCTTTGGTCAAATGTGCACTTTTAAAACAAGAAACGTTCAGCAGGTTAGAAGCACAATGGTTTATTATCTACTGTACTGTGTTTTTCCCAAATACTATCTGATTACTTAAAGTAAAATTTCTAAAGAACCTATGTTTTTGGGGCCGTTATTCTTGTTAACCCAACCTTAGTACACTGAACCAAAATAAAAATGCAAAAAAAAATGTTTTTGCTCACATTTTTCATGAGCTGAACTCAAAGATTCTCTATGTACACACTAGGCCTTTTTCTCTCAAAATATTCACAAATTTGTGTAAATCCGTGTTAGTGAGCACTTCTCCTTTGCCGAGATAATCCACCCACCTCACAGGTGTGGCATATCAAGATGCTGGTTAGACCGCAAGGTCATAGGTGTGCCTTAGGCTGACCACAATAAAAGGCTACTCCAAAGTGTGCATTTATATCTCACAGCACAATGCTACAGATGTTGCAATTTTTGAGGGAGCGTGCAGTTGGCATGCTGACTGCAGGAATGCCCACCAGTGCTGTTGCCCGTGAACTGAATGTTCATTTCTTTACCATAAGCCGTCTCCAAAGAGGTTTGAGATAATTTGGCAGTGCATCCAACCAGCTTCACAACCACAGACCATGTGCAACCACACCAGCCCAGGACCGCCACATCCAGCATCTTCACCTTCGAGATTATCTGAGACCAGCCACCTGGACAGCTGCTGCAACGATCGATTTGTATAACCAAAGAATTTCTGCACATACTGTCAGAAACCATCTCAGAAGCTCATCTGCATGCTCGTCATCCTCATCGAGGTCTCCAGCTCACTGCGGTTTGTCATCATAACCAACTTGAGTGGGCAAATGCTCACAACTGATGACGTTGGAGAGATGATCTCCTCATTGATGAACCCTGGTTTTCACTGTACAGGGCAGATGGCAGACTGCGTGTATGGAGTCGTGTGGGTGAGCGGTTTGCTGATGTTATTGTGAATCTAAT